TTTCCTTTCTTGACTTTTCTTTTACTGACTAAATATTATTTTATCATTATTCTATTGAAAGTTTAAAAAGTTGTTTCTTTTCTTGTGGTGACTACCCTAGAAATTATAACATGTACACTTCATCTTTCAAAGTATGGTTACCTCCCTCCTAGATAAACAATAAATACTGTAACTCCATTTATCCTCTTCTTGACTTGCTGTTATCTAATATTTTTAATCTACCTCTTGGTTTTACCCAAACAATGCATTATGATAATTGTTTTCTAGAATCAATGGTTGTTTACATTTGCCTATGTATTTAGCCATTTTTTTCCTCGATTTTTCTTGTATTTCTGATTTTTCATCTGAGATCACTTTATTTATGTCTGAAATTTATCCTTTAGAATTTTTAGTGAGTGTCTGATGATTACAAATTCTCTTGGCTATTTATTCTTAGTTTTTCTCTAAGAACATTCTTATTTCAACTTTAGCAGTTTGAGGTCCACATCCTTCTAATGAGAATTACTACTGATAAGTCAATGGTTAATCTATCATTCTTCAAAGATAATTTTTCTTTTCCCTCTGACTGCTTTAAGGTTTTTGTCTCTGGTTTTCTTCAATTTCCTATGACTCAAGAGTGTGGATTTGTTTTTATTTAACCTTCTTGAGATTAAGTGGACCTTTTGAATCTGTGTGTTGAGGTGTTTCATCAATTCTCATATTCCCAAAAAATATTTTTTTTGGCCCATTTATTCTCTCCATTCATTCTAGGCCTCTAATCAAATGGATTCAAACTGTATTTTCTACATCTCTCACCCTCTCTACATTTTCTATATTTTTACATATTTGTGCTGTGTCTCAATATTTTTTCTATTCTATCTTCTAAGTCACAAATCCTGTCTTTTGTTTGTATTCAATCTTCTACCGAATTAAAGTTTTTAACTTCAGTTATTGCTTTTTTTCATCTCTAGATGTTATTTGGTTCTTTTTAAAGCCTATTATTTTTTTTATTTTATGATTTCCTATTCCTGGTAGAAATTTTAAAGTTTATGATTTACTTCTATATCATGGTAATCATAGTCGATCTAAAACATGTATCTGAAAAGCCTTGTCTGGAACTGCTGTTAGGCCTATTGTCAATTTCTGTTGTTTAGAGAGTTCCAAGACCTAGTTCAATATTACAGAAAGATTTTGGGTTTGCTTCTCTCAGTTCTCTGTGGTATGTTTAGTTGGGATGACTTCAAATCAAGTTTAAGTTCTGAGGGTCACTAGTCCATCTAGACCTTGCTTAGCTGTGTGGAAAGACATGGGAGATTTGGTCTTATCACAGCATGAGGAGGTTTCCTTTTGCTTTTCCTGTTCTTTTTCCTCTCCTAATTGGTTCAAAACCACAGCATCCCATTCTGTAGTTATCAGAGTTTAAAGTAACTCTAGGGGGTCAAGCTCTGGTTTGTTCTAACTGAGGATGGGGTTCAATATAAATGTCTTCCACATGACTCCTCCCACTCATAATGGTATGTCCTGACAAAGAATCAAAAGACAAGTATTTGTGATAGTAGTTCATACCTTCTCAACATAGGTAACCTTGGTGTTCTAATATTCCATTCTGTTTGTCTATTACTAGAACTACAACTTCTAATGTTGTTCTTAAATCCCCCCCCCCCCAGGTTCACCATGCTATGTTTAGGTGTGATTTACTTTTCTTTTCTTTTTTTTTTCCTCATGAAAGTAATTCATCTGACTTTTTATTTGTGGATTGTATCTTCCATCAGTTCTGGAATATTCTCAACTATTATGACTTCAAGTATTGTGTCTACTTTGCTTTGTATGTCCTATTTCCAGAACTCTAGTTACACTTATATTATACTCTATAACTCTGCCTTCATCATTTCTTAATCTTGCATTCGTATTTTTCATTCTTTCTATGTGCTACTGTATTAATCTCCCAGAGCTGTTGGAATAAAGCACCACAAATTGGTGGCTTCAAACAAAAGAGAATCATTCTCTCATAGTTTTGAAGCCTAGAAGTCCAAAATCAAGGTATCTCCAGGTGTTGATTCCTTCTGGATGCCCTGAGGAAGAATTTGTTCCATGTGACTTTCTTACCTTCTGGTAGTTGTTGGCAATCTTAAGTACTCCCTGGCTTTAGATACATTGTTCCAATCTCTGCCTCTGTCTTCATATGGCCTTGCCCTATGGGTCTTCTTTATATCTGAGTTAAAAAGATCCCTCTCCTTTCTCTTATAAGGACATAAGACATTGGATTTAGGGCTCACCCTAAATGTAGGATGATCTCATCTCAAGATCATTAATTTAATCACATCCACAAGGACCCCATTTCTAAATAAAATCATATTTACTAGTACTAGGGGTTAGAATTTGGACATACCTTTTTGGGGACAAAGTTCAACCCACTATAGCTACATTCTGATTAATTTATTCATATAAATCTTCTTGTTTATTAATTTTGCTTTACTTGCATCGAATATGCTTTTAAACATGTTCATTTAAATTTAAAAAATTTCAACTATTATATTTTCCTCTTTCAAAGATGATTACTCTTTCTTTCAGTTTTTCTCTGCACATATTTTAAAGCTGATCTTTATTTTCTTAAATATAAAAAAACATGGTTATATATATTTGTTTAAAGTAAGTATAATATCTGAAGTTTTGGGTCTTAACATCTGAAGGAATGGGTCCATTCCTATTGTTTGTTGTTTCCCTTGGCTCATAGTGCCTTGTTTTCTCATATTTTTAGTGAATTTTAATTGTGAGTAGTTCAATTTAATTAAAAATTTGCTTTTTGAGATTCATGGAGACCTGGTATTATTATTATTTATTATTTTTTTTCTAAGTTTTTATTTAAATTTTAGTTAGTTAACATACAGTATAATATTAGTTTCAGGAGTAGAATTTAGTGATTCATCACTTGCATACAACACCCAGTGCTTATCACAACAGACCTGATATTGTGGGCTCATTCAGAAAGTGTGTGCATTTTGCTTCTGCCAGAGCCTGGGATAACTTCTTGTTTGGGACAACTTTAAACTAAATTTTAGTTTGAGAGTTTGCAGATGACTCAGACACTTTAAGTTTGCACTTGAAGTCAACATAATGGCCAGATTATGGATTCAACTTTTTAAGGATGTTGCTTTCCTGTGCTAAATTGCCAAGTTGCAGACAGATTTTCATGTAATCTTTTGTGAAAGTGAGTGGTATTTCTAGTTTACTCTTATACTAAGGTATAGCACTTTGGTGCCTCTGACTTAAAAGAGGAAAGATCTCTGCTTAGACTCTCAACCTTAGACTCTGAAATTTTCCATGTACCTCATGTGCCTTGAAAACTGAAATCCAAGTTCACCTAGTTTGGCAAATCTCAAATTCCTCTTACCTCTCTGGTTCCCATACTCAAGCCAGAGACTTGAGTATTCCTTACTTTCATTCCAGCTCAACAGTGCTCTTAATAAAATGCTTTAAAGCTTTTATCTAGCACTTAAGTTGTCTATAGTGAAAGTTTAGTCTAGTAATATCATCTATCTTACCAGAAACAGAAATCTCCTTTTCCTATTTGAGTCAATTTGGATGGTTCTTATTATTTTAGAAAAATGTTTATAGCAACTACATTTTCTTTTCAAAATGATTGGCCTAGATTTTTTTTTATCATATAGTTTCATGTGTTTTAAAAGTTCAACTGTATTGTGGTTATGGCACAATCTTTATTTATAGTTAATTTTTACCTTTTCTCGTTGTTTTTCTAACTTAGGCCAATAATTAATAGAGACAAATACATAGCGATTAAAATAAAATGCAATAAGATCTGTGAAGTTTCTATGAGTGCATTATGGAGGTACTCACAAAAGACATTTTGTCAAGATTTAAATGGGGAGATGTATGGAAAGCTCTTTGCACACTATCTCATACTTGTAAAGACCTCAATAGATGTTAAACGTAGTAGTACTAGGGAAACCTTCCTTAGGGCAAAGGAATTATCCAAAGGGATCATTGGATGAATGGGAAAAATAAGTCCGTATTAATAAAGCTCAGAGCAACTAAATAAACTTCAATAGACCTAAGTTAGAATAAAAGGGTAAGAACAGCAAGAGGTGAGGCTGGAGGGCTAAGAGTGGGGCATATCATGTAGGTCCTGGTAGATATAATTAGAAATCTGAATTTTATCCTAAGAGAAACATAGTGTTGAAGGTTTCCCTATAACTACCACTATAATGACCAATTTTCCTTAAAGGGAAGTGGGAGATCCTACACAAAACTTCAAGAACAAAACCCAATTCTTCTGTCCTTTTCTCTGCCTTCTCTACATTTGGTTCTATATTAGATATGTTCTGATTTTATGCCTTATTACATATGATTATTAGATGATTTAATTTAGCTTATAGACAATCCAATTAAGCTTTTTCTGGCCCCCAAAACATGTGGTTGGCAACCTCTAAGATGGCCCCCAATGATTTCCACTCCCTGGTATTCACACCCAGTGTAACTCCCTTCCCTTGAGTGTGGGCTGAACTTTTTGACTCACTTCTAAGGAATATAATATGGCAGGATTAATGTGATGGCACTTCTGAGTTAGATTATAAAAAGATTATGGCTTGTTTGGGGTGCTGTATTTCATGCTCTCTCTTGGATCTTTTGTAATAGGGGAAACCAACTGTGATGTCATAAGGCAACCCTGTGGAAAGAACAGGCCTACCAAGAGGCATGTGAAAGATTTGAAAGTAGATAGTTTTCCATTTGAGCCTTCAGGTAAATGCAGCCCTGGCTGACATATTGATTGTAGTCATGTGAGAGACTATGAACCAGAATCACTCAGCTAAGCTGCTCCCGAATCTGGGAGCAGATTCATCACTCACAAAAAATGTGAGATAATAAATTTATGTTTTTAGCCACTAAGTTTTGGAATAATTTGTTATGCAACAATGGATAACTAATATACCTGGCTTGCTGGCAGGGCAATCAGTCTGACTCACAGAAAACATATTTGAGATATAGGAATGAAAATGTAATGATTGAGATCATAAGCTATTTTATTTATTGAAGAGATAAAATAGTACATAAACAAAACCTTATTTGATAGAAAAATAACACCAAAACTCTTACAAATGTGATTATTAGCTAAACCACCAGAGATACTGGTCCTGCTGAGTTCTTCCATAGCTATGTAACTCAAAGGCTAAGAGATTGGCTGAAGTCAGGATATGAATCACTGGACAGTTTCTTCTGGAAAGACAGAATGAATCAAGGCCCTTTAATAAGGAAGTTGCAAGAAACCTTACCCTTTGGAGAAAGAGTACTCTGTCATTCCTGTAGTCAAGGACCAGGCCCAGCCAAAAGGAAGCGGAGGGTTGTGACAATGAGTCTTGTCCCAGAGCTCCCTTCAGCTTGTCTTTTGCTTGGCTTTGGAGAGTGGATTGGACATGATTTAGAGGCTAGAGCCTTATTTGACAATAAGAAGATGCAAAAATTCAAGTCCCAGACCCATCCTTTGACCTTGAACTATTAGTGCTGCAGGTTCTCTTGGCTTCTCATGTCCAAAAAACACTCAGATATTAGTGTCACCTCCTTGAGGGACAGAGCTGCCCCATGAGTGGGTGAATCATTGTTCTGGTGCCTGAGATGGGAAATGCCTGGCTAATACCCTCTTTTCTGTTTCTATGATCCAGGGACAAAAACAGGGAAAAGATGAGAGGGGGACAAAGACACCAGGCCAAGAGGTGATCATTTAGGGCTTCTTGCTAATAACTGATTTTGGTTTTCCAGAGATGAAATAAGCCTTTCCAGCATAAGGCAGTATCATGTCACAGCCCTAGGGACTGGCTGGTTTTATCAATCTGGCAGTTCAAGGTCAGCGCAAAGGACATCCCCAACACCTGAGAAAAGAGTTGAGAAAATGTGAGGTCTTCATAGGAGGGGCCATCTCTCCCACACCCCTGGGATTAGCCCCAGAGAAAAAGAAAGTGTCCATTACACTGGAACAACCCTTCTTGCCATTACTTCCAATTCCTTCCCTATTCTCTCCTTCAGCTTTAGAATGGTAGTGAGGGTGATGTTGTCAAAATAGTAGAGGATAGAGTGTTGGGACATCTTTGTCTCCTTAAGAAGTCGCTTGTATAGGCAAGTACTGCACAAGTCAACACTTTGTGCAATGAGTCATCTCTACCTGTGCCCTGAGACTCCTTAGTTTCCAAGCAGAGAAAAATTATTTCCCCCTGAGCTTCTTGATTACATTTTAGCTATTCTGTGACATACCCAAAATACATGGGTATAAAAATAGTAGAAATGTCACATAATAAAAAAGAACACAAAACTATCCCCAATTCACCCCTGACTTATCATGCTAAGCAGAGAAACAAGGAAGAAACTGATTATGATTTTTATCATCAGCTCCTGCTTGGCATATAAGGCCAATTTTTCACATAGAATGTTTCTCCATCACAAGTTTTCCATACCAGTTGAGTGAATGACCAAAGTAGGGGTCTGCTTGATGACTTTTAATTTGACTATGAAGTACTCATATCTCTTAGGGATAAGTTGACCAGATAGATCTTGCAGCATATTTTCTGTATGCCTTAAATTGGTAATGACATCATTTGCTACATGACTGAGGAAACTCTTATTTATTGAGCATATACTATATACCTGGAACTGTTCTAAAACTTTACCTGACTTACCTAATTTAATCTACACAATGGTCCCAGGATTATGTTCTTACCTGGATCACACAAACACAGATAGTGATGATTCCAATGTGCAGGAAGTTGGAGTGAAACCACAGTTTTGCTTTCGCATAGCAACCCTAGAAAAAAATTACAAGTACAAAGGATACCACTATATAATTTGACTTTATCAGGAAGCTAATTTCAGAAGATAGTTTATATTTAGCCTTATGCCAAGAGACTTAGGCCATTTTATTTTCTTTCTATCTTTCTTTCTATAGGCATGAAGTAAAGAATATTAAACTACAGACTTTCTGGTGTTGTTATCATCACAATGGCACCTAACACAGAAGTCCTAGATGTCTACACACAGAGTTAAACTAGCTCCTGAGAGGCATTTCAGCAATAGATGTCCTTAAGTTCTTTAAACATCCACTGCTGACTTGGGACAAATAAATGGGGGAGGTAACCTATGCAATTCTGGGATTGGTTGCATTTCAGCTTCTGCTGAAACCTAAGTCTATCATGGCCCTACCAAGCTCCAGGGCAGGGCTAGTTGGTGAGTGTCTCAGTCTTTCTTCATAGACCTAAAAGTTTGGAGATTTTCAAACAATCCCAAGGTGGATAACACCAGGTAACAGGAATTTAGGAACTTAATCTTGGAATATAATCTTGGCTTTTTCTCTGGGCCTAGTCTGGAGGTCTGAATTAAGTCGGCAGGTTGTTTCAACAGTTCTACCAACTCTCTCTCCCCCGACTCCAGACTCCTTTACTTATGATTCATTTCATCAAGGGGCTGGATGTTGCCATTTCCAAAGAAGAAGAATAGAGAAACAGGAAGAGGGGGAGGTTTTCTACCTCAACTTTACAATTTTCGCTTTCAACCATAAGACCTACTTCTTGCTCAAGAAAAATGTAGATATAACCTTCTGCCACTATCACATAAACTTTCCCCCTCTAACGTAATAGTTTAGGATAGCAAGATTTGTGATGGCATCGCTAGTCTAATGAGCTTGTTCCTTTTTTTTTTCTTTTGTCTAGTTGTCTGGACAACTTTTGTCTAATTTGTCTAGTTACCCGGGTTTTCTCCTTGGCCTCTATTTTATCTAAGGTTTCTTGTTTCTGGTTGGGAGGACTAAGTCCTGTATGACTGGGGTTTCTAAGATATTGAAAGTTTAACCAAAGAGGCTAATAACAGAAAAGTTGCCAAAAAATTACCTGAACTTGTGGATCCGAGGGGCAAGATGCTGGTGGGTGACCGGCCCAATCATTTGTGCCATTTATACCACAACATTGCAGCTAAAAGCCAAATCCCCCAAAAACATGATGGTTAGAAAGTCAACAGAAGGAAAACTGGAATTTGGAGAAAAGGTAGACCCTTCAGATCTGACTCTAGCGGAAAATACAGAATTGGCTTATCTACTATGACTCCTTAGAACAAAATATTTTCAAATCCATTATACCATTTCATTCACATAAGACTCCTTGAAATAGAAAGGGCATGTTTAACTTATTCATATTTTACAGATGAAAAATTAAGCACACAGGGAACTTGGTCTGACATGTTTGGGTCTTCCTTAGATCTTAGTAGGGCTTAGACAATGAGCCTACCTAAGAATGTGAGGGATGAGAGAATGTAGAGAACTTCGTACCAATCAGACTGATTCCTGTTTGTGACTGCTAAACATTATTTTGGACCTAGGGGCCGTGGACCTTAGATTCTGGGCCTTTCAAGAAAGGAAGTCCCTTTAGCCTCCAGGCACTGAGGTTGGAAAATTAAGTCTGGGCTGAGCTGAGGAGGATTCCATCTGTACTCACAAATGACTGGATGGAATCCCATGCTGCCTTGGTGCTGTTGTCCGTGTGGTATCGCTGAATGCTGTCAGTCAGGCTCTCAGACACATAATTATTCAACTGGGTGGGGCATATTCCGGCAGAGAAGACATTATAAAAAGCAGGTGAGTTCAAGGAACAAGCAATTTCTAATAATGGCTGGTGGTTCCATTTGCTCCTCCCTTCCAAATGATCTCCTCAGAGCTAAGGAAGCCAGGAGAGGGAGTTTATAGACAGGGAGAAGTGCTGAGACTTGAGATAGCATTGCAGGAAGAAGTACATAGTAGTCTCTTGTCCTTCCAGAACTCTGGTTTTTCAGAGGAAGACAAAGCATGGGCTCTCTTAGGCATGGAGACAGACATTTTCTACTGCCAAACACATGGAGAAAAGGAAGTAGGAGGAAGATAAACTTGTTTTTACTGCTCTTCCTATTCATCCTTCAAAGCATGATTCAATTGCTATCTTTCATGAAATTTTTTCCCCTCCCCATTTACAATTAATTTCTTTCTTCCATCCTTCCACTTTGCCTCTATCTCTATTACTTCTTCTCCACGGTCAGAAATACAACAATGAGATGTTCTTTATCGCTTACCTTCTGTTCATACACGAAGAGCAGGATGGCCAAGGTCACCTCAGCAAGGAGGATAATCAGCAGCAGGATAAAGAACTGAGGCAAAGCAGAGACATGCTCATAGCACTGATCCTAGTTCTTCCCTCACTCCTACTCCACCCTGGGAGCATCCAGGCATGTCTCTGCACATGTACAGAAGTTCCTATTCCTGCTTGCTGAGATCTTCATAAGCCTTTTGTTTTGTGAGGGATATGTGTCATTTTTCTACAGCTAGACTCCAAGTCTCTAGAGGGCAGATCAGCTGTCCTCTAACGTTGTTCTCCCTTTCCCATGTGCCTATACAGCTCCATGCACCTAATGAGTATGCAATACTATTTGTTGAATCAGTGAAGCAATTTTGGCATCAGCTTTTTGAAAGAGTTGAGCAAAAAAGCAGTAAACTATGTGCCTTTAGAGTTTGGAGCCTGGTCCTTTCTGCAAGATCAGGGCTAGTTTGGGGTCGGGGGCAGGTGATGGTGGAAGTTGAGAGGAGCCCTGTACAGATGGGGAGAAGAGGTATCCTAATCACAGTCCTAACCCTTATTTATTTCCAACTGTAGATGCTTACTCCCTTTATACTAATCAAACACAGCAGAAAATACATTTTCACTTATTCTCCTTCACCTTTTCATCCCAACATTAATTTCAACTGTTTAAACCTGTTTAGCTTTTTCCTTATGTCTATTATCTCCTATCTTTTGCCATTAATCTGGGAGCTGAAAACAAGAACTTTTTTATTCTATGTCTGGGCTCCAGTTTAAGAATTGGCCCATAAGGGAAAGATTAACCAAATGACTTAAGGAAGAACCAAGGAGACTGGGAACCCTTCTATGGATGGAGTGGCACTGTTATATCAAGCACTGTTCTGTGTACACTTAGAGATACCAGAACTCTTCTTTCATAGAGCTTACAGACAAAACCTAAGCCTAAAGATGCTCTTCACGACACTTAACTGACAGGGAACAACTAAAAAGCTCTAGCATCTCTCACGTTAGATCAAAATGGCAGCCACCTAGGTCCTCCCTTAAGTTGGGTCATCACACCATCATGTATCTTGTGCAGATTTGAGATAGAGAAGCACATTCTGCCATTTTAGGAGGGTCACAGTACTCAGAAGAATCTAGAGACTAGATTTTCCATCAATGAGTGACTCTGACTCAGATCCTAAAAACACATACTAATGTGAAAAGCATTTAGGCAGACGGATGACACTTGATTTCAATGAGACATGAAGAAATAAAATGCCATAAAGGGAAATTATGACAAGGGTCATTCTTAACACTGTACAATGAATCCCAAGGGGGGTAGCAATGTCCTCTTCCTTGAGACCCCAGTCAGAAAAAAAATACTATTGGTCTAGACAGATTTGCTGGCCTAAAGTGCCAATCCTATGGTCCTATAATTTCCCTGTGCCCATAGGTTAGCCACCAAGAAACATCTTTACTGGGACTTAAGGCATCATGTCTCTCTACTTAGGGTAACACATCTGTTGCAAGAGACTCACCGACATAAGCAGGCACTTGTTCTCCTTGATGGAGCCCATGCAGCCCAGAAAGGCAACCACCATGATAATGGAGCCCACGATGATAAGCACATTGCCCAGTGTGAGGGAGGGGAGCAGGTTGAAATTGTTGTGGATCAGGAGGTAGATCCCAAAGCCCAAAATGCCGCAACCACAGAACTGAAAGAAAGAATTCCACAACACTCTTGAATATCTGTTCACATTCTCACTTGAGATTAGGATGGGGGGATGGGGTAACCGGGTGATAGGTGTTAAGAGAGGCACATGTTGTGATGAGCACTGGGTGTTATATGCAACTAATGAAATCATTGAACACTACATCAAAAACTTATGATGTACTATATGCAGGCTAATGAATGTAATAAAAAAATTAAAAAAAATAAAGAAGTTTTGCCACCAATGAATCAAAAAAAAAAAAAAACCACATCTTTCCACTGGCTCTATCAAGACTCTCAGGAACAACCTCTTTACCCAGCTTTCCCCATGCACCTAGAAAAGAGGTGATCCTACTTTTCTCCTGTGATGTCCTACTCATGCTTCATCCTACCCATATCAGATACCAGAAGAAGCTCACTGTGAGTCATATAGTATCTTCATGCTTCAGATCCCCTACTCCTTGTTCCCACCACATCTTGCACATGGTCTTCCCTTTGGAAACCACAACCATGTAGAGGGGATGCCCTGGTTGAGAAGTTTATCTTGCTAGGCAGAAAACTAGAGAAGCCAAACTTTTAAGAATCTTCTCATAGACACGAGTGCAAACTGATCCTATATTTGAAATTCAATTGCTAAATTTGGTATGGTGAAACCGTCCCAGAAAAGGTGATGTCCCTTTTTTTTTGTATATGGATGATTTTCATTTTTTATTTTATTTATTTATTTTTCACATGCTCAATAAATAAATATTTATTTATTTATTATTTATTTATTTATTATTACGTTATGTTAATCACCATACATTACAACATTAGTTTTTGATGTAGTGTTCAATGATTCATTATTTGCGTATAACACCCAGTGCTCCATGCAGAACGTGCCCTCTTTAATACCCATCACCAGGCTGACCCATCCCCCCACCCCCCTCCCCTCTAGAACCCTCAGTTTTTTTTCAGAGTCGATCGTCTTTCATGGTTCATCTCCCCCTCCGATTCCCCCCTTTCATTCTTCCCCTCCTGCTATCTTCTTCTTCTTCTTCTTCTTTTTAACATAAAACTTTCAATCAGCTATTCATCCAAGGGATTAAGGGGAGGAGGGGAGCAGGAAAGTGTTACTTATACACAGAATGTAGAGTCTCAGGTTTCTCACCCATAGATGTCAGCAGTGAGCAGTAGTAGCCTAAAGTCCCCAGAGAGAGAAATAGCATGCCTATAGATAACTGCGTTGGATAAAGAAGATGTGGTACATATATACAATAGAATATTACTCAGCTATCAGAAAGGATGAATACCCACCATTCACATTGACATGGATGGAACTGGAGGGGATTATGCTGAGTGACATAAGTCAAACAGAGAAAGACAATTATCATATGGTTTCACTCCTATGTGGAACATAAAGAATAGCACAGAAGACCATAGGGGAAGGGAGGGAAAACTGAAGGGGGTGGGGATCAGAGAGGGAGACAAACCATGAGAGACTGTGGACTCTGGGAAACAAACTGAGGGTTTCAGAATGGATGGGTGTGGGGAGATGTGGTAGCTGGGGGATGGATATTAAGGAGGACATGGTTGTGAGGAGCACTGGATGTTATATGCAACTAAGGAATTGTTGAACATAAAAACTAATGATGTAGTGTATGGTGGCTAACTGAACATAATAAAAAAAAAAAGATAACTGCACTGGTACTTCTCAATTTTACAGGCTTACACAATGGCAGGATGGAAAGAAGGGAAATTATTATTCCCCTGTTGTAAGTTGGGTATGCCATTCAGACATGCATGGGTTGCTCTCCATACCAGGCTCTTCAGTAGAGGAGAAATAGAGTGTAGCTAGGAGGAGATGAGCTCCTCATGCTCAGAAGAGGCGCACTTACCCAAAAGAGCAAGTTGAAGAAAAACAGAACGTACTTCAGCAATTTCAAGCCACTCATGCCCATGCTGGGATATTCTTACTCTAAAAAGTGAAAGGAAAAAAAGAGGAAGTAAGTTACCTGGCTCTGTAAGGTGGCATCAGTGAAGAGGACAGCATATATGTTCACGGTTCAAGATCTCCAGCATCACCTTGGATTTGAGCTGTGAGTCTCCTCTGGGAAGTTTCCCCCAAATCCCTGTTTTCTCAGTCTCTGAACTGATGTACCAATTGGTTTATCTTGGACACTCACTTTTGCTCCAATTCAGCAAGCCAAGAATGCTTATCACTGAATTAAGCACTGTAGAGGAAAGCAATAGAGCTGCTCTTGGAGGAGAGTGAGTCACAGTAACACACAGTAGGCCAATGCTCAGAGACTAGTGCTTGGGCATTTACTCAAGAAGGCAGCCCAGGGGTCAGGAATTTATCAGCTGTGGAGGTCAGTGACTTGATCAGCCAGTTCCTTATATGCCCTTATATGCATGCATATACTACATTTGGTCTATAAACCTCTCCGCATGAAAATGAGGGAACATACCTATGTATGATTCATTCTTTTACTGAAGAAACATTTATGATGTTTTTTGTTCTAGATACTGTGGGAGATATAACTGTGACTAAACAGTAGCTATCTTCCAGGAGATGTCAATCTTATAGGAGAGATAAAACTAGCAATCAAATATCCAGTAGAGAAATGAAAAGAGATAACAATGGGAGCTTGATTTAAAAAATACATATAATTTCATTTTCTCAGCCAGAACATTAATGTGCAAACCCTCACCCTCAATTCTAGAAATCTGGATACACAATTTTGAATTTTCTCTCAGACACAATTAGGTTCTATAGAGTAACTCATATTTTAAAACTGCATATAAGACTGCTATATAGAACAAAATGTCATTTTATTGTTTTTTTCCCATTAAAACTATGCCTTTTCTAGCGTATAGATTGCTTGTACAATCCATTGCCTGTACCCTCTTAACAGTATCAGAAATCAGATGGTCTTGAGGAATAGGTAATCTAGGCTGTTGATAAGCCTGATGACCTATTTGTGTTCCACAATAGAATAATCTCTGTTGAAAAGACCAAATATATATATTTATCTCATACTATTTTCTTTTTCCTTTACTTTGTCCTTCTTTTTCCCTTTCTCCTTCTTGTCTTGACCCTCAGGATTATTCTTAATTCTTCATCAGTATTTTAGCCAAGTTAAAATAAAATTGATTATAAGTGTGTTTGTATATACTTGGGAGGTTAATATGGTGATTTACTACCTAGATTTTGAGGTCAAACTTGAATTCAACTCTCACATAGGCCACCAAATAGCTACATGACATTTGGAAATTTACTTAACATTTCTAGTCACAATTTATTCCTATGTAAAATGGGGGTAATACTTAGACTCCTAGGGTGGATGTGAAGATTAAAAAATATTACAACAGACTGATATATGACCATACTCAGTAAATGGAACCCATGATTATTTAGTTTTAAAGGAACTCTCTGGGAAGGGAGAAATGGAAGAATACTATAAGGTTCTATTATGTGGTGTGGTAATGCTACTTGAAGATAGACCGTGATGGATTAAAGCTGTACAGTATAAACCATAAGGCAGCCTCTAAAATAACAAAACAAAGAATTATAATTAGTAAGTCAGCAAAGGCTAAATAAATAAAACCTTAAAAAAGTAAACCAGCAAAGGAGATAAAATTTTTTCTAAATACTGGATTAGTTGAAAGAAGCCTGACAAAAAGAGGAAAAAGGAAACCGCTATGGTCTGAATGTTTGTGTCCCCATAACATTTACATGTTGAAATCCTAATGCCCATGATGGTGTAGGGACGTAGGGTTTTGGGAGTCAATTAGGTCATGAGGATGGAACCCTCCTAAATGAGATCAGAGCTCTTATAACAGAGACCCCAGAAATCTTCCTAGCTCCTTCCATCTCGTGAGGACACAACAAAAAGTCTGCAACCCAAAAGAGAGGCCGCACCTGACCACGTTACCATCCTGATCTTACTTCCAGCCTCCAGAACTGTGAGAAATATATTTCTGTTGTTTATAAATTACCCAGTATGTAGTATTGTGTTATAGCAACCTGCACAGACTAAGACAAAAACAAAGAACAGATGAGAAAAACAAAAAACAAATAGAAAGATGGGACAAATAGAAAACAAATATGCTCAGCTCTAACCATATTAATAGCAAGTAAATGAAATGGTCTAAGTACTCCAGGTATGCCCCGAGATAGCTAATTGGGTTAAAGAACATTAAGTAATGAATTATCAGAAAAAGAAGAAAACAATCCCATTTAAAATAGCATGGAAAACAATAAAATGCTTAGGAATAAGTTTAACAAAAATGGTAAAAGATCTAGACACTGAAAACAAGACATTGATGAAAGAAATGTAAGAAGACACAAATAAATGGAAAGATATTCCATGCTTCTGGATTGGAAGAATTAATATTGTTAAAATGTCTACACTACCCAAAATGATCCACAGGTTGAATGCAATATATATAAACATTTCAATGGCATTTTTCACAGATACAGAATAAACAATCCTAAAATTTATGTGGAACCACAGAAGACCCTGAATAGCCAAAGGAATCTTGAGGAAGAAAAACAAAACTAGAAGCATTACATTTCCTGATTTCAAATTATATTACAAGGCTATAGCAATCAAAATAATATGACATTGGGAGCCAAGAATATACAATGGGGAAAATATAGTCTCTTCAATAAATGGTGTTGGGAAAACTGGTCAGCTGCAAAAAAATGAATGAAATAAGACCACTATCTTACACCAATCACAAAGATAAAATAAAAATGGATTATGGACTTGATACAAAAATAGCGATTCAAAGGGGGCACATGTACCCCCAATGTTTATAGCAGCAATGTCAACAATAGTCAAAATATGGAAAGATTCCAAATATCCATCAATAGATGAATGGATATAGAAGATATGGGATATATATATATATATATATATATATATATACAATGGAATATTACTCAGCCATCAAAAAGAATGAAATCTTACCATCTGCAACAACATGGATGGAACTAGAGGATATTATGCTAAGTGATATAAATCAGTTGGAGAAAGACAAATACCATATGATTTCACTTATATATGGAATTTAAGAAACAAAACAGATAAACATAGGTAAAGGGAAAGGAAAATAAAATAAGATGAAAACAGAGAGGGAGGCAAACCATAAGAGATGCTGAAATCTAGGAAACAAACCGAGGGTTGCTGGAGGGGAGGTGAGTGGGGGGATTGATAATTTAGGGATGGGGATTAAGGAGGGCACTTGATGTAATGAGCACTGGGTGTTATATGCAACTGAAGAATGACTAAATTCTACACCTGAAACTAATGCACTATATGTTACCTAATTGACTTTAAATAAAAAATTAAAAAATGAATTATAGACTTGAATGTAAGACTTGAAACCACAAAACTCCTAGGAGAAAACATAAAGGGTAAGCACATTGACTTTGGCCTTGGCAAGGATTTCTTGGTTATGACCCCAAAACAAAGGCAACAAATGCAAAGATAAACAAGCGGGTCTGTACAGCAAAGGAAACCATCAACAAAATGAACAGGCAACCTACTTAGTGGGAGAAAATATTTGCATCATATATCTGATAAGAGATTAATATCCACAATATATAAAGAACTCATGTAATTCAATAGTAAGAAACAAAAACAAAAACAAAAATCTGATTTACAGATGGGCAGAGGAAGTGAATAGACATTTTTTCAAAAAAGACATACAAATGGCCAGCAGGTATAAAAAAAAAGATGCTCAACATTACTAATGATCAAGACGGAAAATGCAAATCAAAACTGTGATGAGATATCACCTCATACCTGTTAGGAAGGTTATCGTTAAAAAGACAAGATATAACAAGTGGTGAGAGCATATGCAGGAAGACAGCCCTCACATACTATTGGTGGGACTATAAATTGGTTACAGCCACTATGGAAAACAGTATGGAGATTTCTCAAAAAATTAAAAATAGAACGACTATATAATCCAGCAATTCCACTTCTGGGTATATATCCAAAGGAAAGGAAATCATGGTCTCAAAGAGGTATCCATGTTCATTGTAGCATTACTTACAGTAGCCAAGACATGAAAACAACCTATGCCCATTGACACTTCAACTAAAAAAAAAAAAATGTGGTATAGGGACGCCTGGGTGGCTCAGTTGGTTGGGTGTCTGCTTTTGGCTCTGGTCGTGTTGCCAGGATCCTGGGATTGAGTCCCACATCGGGCTCCTTGCTCAGTGGGGAACCCGCTTCTCCCTCTGCCTGCTGCTCCCCCTGCTTGTTCTCTCTCTCTGTCTCTGACAAATAAATAAATAAAATCTTTAAAAAATGTGGGATAGTGACGCCTGGGTGGCTCAGTCAATTAAGCGGCTGTCTTTGGCTCAGGTCATGATCACAGGGTCCTGGGATCGGGCCCTGCATCAGGCTCCCTGCTCAGCGCGGAGCCTACTTCTCCCTCTTCCTCTTCCGCTCCCCCTGCTTGTGTGTTCGCATGCTCTCTCTCTCTCTGTTTGTGTGTTAAATAAATAAATAAAATATTTAAAAATAAATAAATAAATAAATAAATAAATAAATAAATAATATGGCATAAATATATAAAAGAGTATTATTCAGCCATGAGAAAGAAGGAAATCCTACCATTTGTGACAACATAAATGGACCTTGAGGGCATTCTCTCAAAACTCAGAAAACAAACAATCCCATCTGAAAATGGAAAAGAAAAAAATGGACAAAAATCTAAACAGATAGTTCACCAAAGAAGATGCATGGATGGAAAATATACCTCCTAGAGTGGCTAAAATTAAAAGAACAAAGACAAAATAACTGACCATACCAGGGGTTGATGAGAATGTGGTGAGAATGTAAAGGGGTATATCCACTTTGAAAAATATTTTGCCAGTTTTGTGAAAAATTAAACATATACTTATATGATTCAGCCATTCCACTCCAAGGTATTTACCAAGAGAACGAAAAGCATATG